GAATATTATACAGCCACGATAAAGGATGGTTTAGACCTATATTTATTAACATGAAAAGATGTCCTTAATATATAGTTTCGCTTAAAAAGCCAAAATGCAAAGAATTAACCTGCATCCACCTCTGTTGAAAATGTATCTGTGAATATATGAATTAAATAATTCTGAAAGGTGGTCTTTGGGTGGGGTGATACAATGTTCCATTTTCAGTTCTTTTTGCCCGTCCATATGGTATAGACCTTTTATAAGAGAATATCTCATTTTTATATTTTCATGTAGCAAAACACTATTTTCTTATGGAATTTTATTTTTATTAATTACACTGAGGGACTATAAAATTTTTAAGTTTTATTTTAATAAACAGGGGTGAAATAAGAAACTGGTTGTAGAAAGAAAAATACTTATTAAATGCAGTCTAAGTACAAACAAGTTCCCCAAATTAAAATCTCAAATGGTGCATTTTCCTGTCTCTTCCCTGTTAAAAGGAAGGCAAATCCCTAAGAGACCATTATACCTCTCGTAAGACAATTCCCTTTTATCAGGAGCCAGGATCATAGAATTACTTGAGGATTAAAAAATTGGACTTGATTTGATTACTTCCAGCCAAGTGAATTTACACAGCCGCTATTTTTCTGATTCTTTATTTTATTATAAACTATTGTTCAGTGTCACAGCTGGAGTTTATGTGTACTTCAGTAAATTATACATTTTCATAACCAAGGTATTTACAAGAAAATGAAGCAGTTTCTAAGCATATATGTGAATTCTGAAACAAAGTTCAAAATCACCTGTCCCTTGTAGGAGTCACTCAGGGGCCCTCGGGCTGTGGGAGGCCCAGTTTAATTCACCAGAAGACCTTTCCTGAACCACAGGAGGTGCCTCTGAATGCTGAATTCGTATTTTTAATGCCATGTTTGCCTGCCTTGACTTTAGATCACTGTAGGGGACACAGATCTGGAGCATGTGTGGGGTTGTCTGAAAAACAGTTTAGATCATCAAATGAGCTTTACTGGGTAAAACTTTGTAATGAAAAAATGTTACGTAGCTTTCTACAAATTCAATATCCATTTCTAATTTCAGAGATGTATCCCTAAAAAAATGAGTGACTGAACAAATGAGGGAAGAGGTATAACTCCTCCGCATGCACCATGCCGCGCAAACGTGAGCAGCTCCATCATCTTTTGTTACATTTGATCACGGGAAACAGGGCAGGTCGAGGTAGGCTGCAGGAAATGCTATAAAAACTCCTAACTGCATAATCTTAATTTTGATGACTGAGCTGGGGGTACTTAGAAATAAGCCGGCTCTGCTGCCTATCCAATCTTGTCTTTTTCCTCTGAATTGGGACTTCACATTTGCCCCACATTTCCAGACAAAAAATATGTTCCTCAGCAAAACCGACCAGGACTTCCCTTTGCGATGCAGGTCGTTTCAGCCTGTGCCGGGCCAGTAGCAGAGGCCTCGTCCTGGATGCACCTCTGTGCCCTGGCTTGGATGCGAGAGATGCTTGATTTATCTTCACTCATGATTCTCTTTAACTAGCAGAGCTTTTGAGCACAGAACCCACCAGAGAAGAGAAGGGGGTCGGAGAACCTCTTACTCTCTTTCCAGGAGGCACTTTCAAATGAGTTTAACAAAAAGAAATCCAGATGTTAGGGCAGCGTTGTTTCATCTGGATGGAATTTGAACCCCTTCTATTTATCAGCTGCGTCATTCAAGCAAAGCAGTTGGCCCTCCAAACCTCAGTTTAGTTTTTCATGCAACGCACACCTTAATCATCTCTGAGCAGACAAAATCTGCCTCATAAAGTGGGCAAGAGGATTAAATGAGATACAGCTTCTGAAACGCTTCGCACGGGGTCTGGTCCAGCAAGTGCTCGGAAAGGACAGTCCATAAACACGCCGTCTCAGCTTCACTCCTCGGGGACGTCTGAACGGTCTATTCATGCATGAACAGGCCACCCAGTCCACTGCTTCCTGGCTCGAGTGTGGGCTGCAGCCCTTCTGCGCTTATCACGGCGTCCTGGCTCAAAAGGCACAAATGCACTGTGCCTTTGGAAGGTCAAGAATACTTTTAATGCAGAAAATCACTTCCTCCTTCATCTGCTGAGGGGAGAGTATTTTCTGTTTGTGCATGTCCTCCTGAGCTTGCTTATTCCCCTGGGCTAAGGGGTCCTCATCTCCTCCAGGCGCCCTTTCCAACCACTGCCGCCCACCGCTGCCATCAGGCTGGGTCACCGTCCCCTCCTGGGGCTGGCACAAGAATGAGATAATACGCAGCCTCCTCCCTGGGCTCGCTTGCACTCACGTGTCTGCGCCCATCCCTGCGCAGGCCCCCGCGCCTCCTGAGGACAGGGACTGGGGTCTCCCTCATGTCTGTGTCTCCAGAGTGTAGCCTGGCTGCGGCAGCCGAGGGGAGCAGGTCCTCAGAGAGCTGAGGAGGCTGCGTGAACGGAGCCCCGGGCGTGGCCGGGCAGGCGTAAGTGTGGCAATGTGGAGCCCCGCTCCCAGTTCCCATTCACGGTGCATGGCTGGACCGCTCCGTGCAAGTCTGCTGTCGGACGCCTTTGCCAGGATGACCAATTTTTTTCCTATTCCTTCCTTTTCAAAAACTGGAGTGCAAAGATAGAGCAGAGGAATGCCTCATCAGAGACCCGCAGACCGATTCAGGCAGCACTTCAGCAGGAAGCGCTGGGAGGTCACGGAACTTGGGGAAGATATCTTCCTAAAGCCACCCGGGGTCCGCCCACGCCTTTGCCCATGACAGTGTCAGCCAAGGGCTGGGGGGAGGGCAGCCCTTCAGGCGAATAGGCCCGAAGAGCTTGCTCCACTGGGAAGTCGTGGTAAGGCCGCGTAAGCCGGTGGAGGGGAACTGGGTTTATCCTTCATCCCCACCTGTGTGTGTAGCTACAGCTGAACTTCTATCTACTGATGTAGTGGGGATTTTTATTTGTAACTAGATTAGAACAAGGTCTTAAAATATCAGTAGGTTAAGGACATGCTATCAAACGCAGAGTAAATGCACTGTCCTGAATGTACAAGGTGGCTCCAATCCAAGGACGGTGTTATGGGTGATTTCTTTTCCCTTCTCTCTGCTTTTCTGAATTTTATTTTTATTGTTTTCCTTATCCATGAATGTGCGTTACAGTGTGTTCTTTTTCTAAGTTCTAATTCGTCATCCTGCCGCCTATTATGGAGAACTCCCCAGTCCCTCTGAGTAGAGGACCAGCCGGCAGGAGAGCTTTGCCGAGGGCTTAGCTGCCATCTGCTCCACCCCATGCCAGGCGGTGCCCACACAGGTGCAGCCCACACAGGGCCTGCAAGACTGGCTGGGTGCAGGAGCCCGTGCCTGGCCCGCCTCCCTCACGTTGCTCCAGCCGCTGCCGCAGTCTGGCAGTCCCTAGGCTGCTGCCCGGCCCAGGGTGCCAGCCAGGGTGTCCTCCCACCCAGTGCTTATTCAAACCAAGACCTCAGCTCTGAAGTCCAACTAGGACACCTTCCCCAGGTCCAGTGCCCATCGTGTCTTCATGCTCCCACAGCCCCCCAAACAATGCGGGTGCCACGAGGCATCTGCTTAGCATTGAGTACCCGGTACCAGCCCACCGCCTGGAGCCTCGAAGGGCCTTCGGCATTTCCTGTGTATGCGATGCGCCTCTGTGCTGAAGGGAACTGCGTTCAGAGAGCTGACAGGAGGGGCGCTCTCACCGTGCAGGCCCCCATCTAACTGCTGCATCGCCAGGTGTCTGCCCACCGCTGGATCCCATGGGAGAGGTGAGGCTGCAGGGGGTCCCTGCCCTCTGGGGATCTACAGTGTGGCACGAAAAGATGAGAAGACATATGAAACAGATAAATACCACTACTAATCAACTGTAAAACTAAACTTTTTTTTAACAGCCACAACATTCCAAACCACCTGAATTTTCTGCACAGACCATTCACCGAAACAGCTTTTAAATAGAGTCAGTGGTATTTTCCTCCCCCCTCCACCCCAGTCCTAGGAGTCCTGCTGCACTTCCCATACTCCCTGAATGGAATGCATCCAACCTGAAACACAGCCCTAAGGGCCTGGGGTCCCCACAGCGCCTGCCCTCACACCCCCCTGGGGGCTTTTCTTAAATGAGGTAACACCAAAAAGAGGTGCTGGGGAGTGGAGAGTGGACATAAGGCCGAGGGGGCAGAGGCGGGCCTGACAAACACGGGGGCTGGGGGAGTGGACCCCCTCCCCTTGCCCCATGGCCACCAGGTGCTGTGAGAGGGGGTTGTGGGCAGCCCACCCAGTGTCCTGCCACTTCCGTGCCGTGACGGTGGGCGACCCCACTTGATGTGACCCAGGGGATGCGTCCCAGGGGGCAGTGGTGCCCAGGTGAGCGGGTGGTGGAGCCAGGCTGGGGCCTCCACCCAGGAGCCTTAGGCCGCCCTGTCCTCGGCCTTCCCCCAGAGCTCTCCGTCCCCCGCCGCTGTGGCCTATCCACAAGATGCCCACCTCCAGGCTGCAGCCAATGTGGAGTCAGTGAAGTGCGGCCCCATCCGTGCAAAGCTAGGACCTCCTGGAGGCGAGGCTGTCGAACCGACACCAACAGGAGTGCAGGGAATGGCGCCCACTGGTGCCCCGCGCCGCACACGCCCCGGCCCGGTGGTCCGCACACCCAGCCCGCCACGTGCTGACCCACAGGCGAGTTCCGTCCCCAGCACCCCACCTCACGGCACCGTTGGGGCAGAAGCTGCGCTGAGGTTCCTCAGCACACGGGGCACCTGCTGGAGGGCGTGCGCACAGGACAGGCCTGTGGTCCAGGCTTGTGACCTCCAGCTGGGGGTCCCAGACAATCAGAGGAAACCTGGCTCCTGGGGGGCGCGGGGCCCGCCTGCTCTGTGGGGACAGGACTCCGAGGTGAGTCACTGAGCCCTGTCCCTGGACAGGGCTGGGGGAGCAGGCGCCCGCCCCTGTGATGCTGCCCCCGGGCCGCCAGCAGGGTCACGCGCTGTCACCTCCTGGGAAGGGCTGTGGCGAGCTTCTGGAAAGGCAATAGGAAGTTGCCTTCTCATGGGCCGGACACGAGGGCAGGAGCAGGGCTATAAGGAGCCGGGCTGGGCAGAGGGCAGCCAGCCTGCAGAGCCAGAGGACATGGTGAGTCCGTCTCCCTTTTCTATGGCAAGTGGGTGCGCTGAGGGCTCAGGGCTGAGGCGGCAGGTGAGGCTTTGGGAAGGGGGGTTGGCAGGATGGGGAGCGTTCCGCCGAGTCACCCTTTAGAATTCGCAGGCATTTCAAAGCCTGCCTCTGCGCTGACCCTCGCCACAAACACCCTTGCCCACTAAGGCTGCTGTTTGCTGTGACACCTGAAGCCCGTTCCTTACAGAGGCTCCATGTGCCCCGAGCTGGCCGCATTAGGCCTGACGCTGTCTAGATCTGGACCCCTGGCCTCCGCCCCACGGCCACTGTTCCCCGAGTAGGGCTCACAGGGCCTGTCTGGGAGCAGGTCCTGCTGAAGCCCGGGCCCCCTTCTCCAGGACTGCCCTCCCCTCTGGGTGGCAAGAAGGCTGAGCGGTTCCTCACCCCCGCCTCCTGTTCCCTTCTCGGAGCCCCGGGGTCTCTGGACTGACGCCCTCCTGTTTCCATTTCTGCCCTAAGTTTCAGTTCTCTTAGTGACTGTAAAAGGGACATAACAACAGTACTCAGGAGTGTCATTACGAGAATTAAATAAAAGCTTTTAGATCTGAGGCTGGCACACGGTCACTGATCCCAAAGTCTTAGCTCCTATTGTGGTAACGAGCGGACTCCTGGGGGTCAGCGGGACTTGGGAAGATCTGAGAAAAACAAAGTATACTTGAGCTTACGAACAAACGAGACACACGGTTTTACCCCCAGCTAGCAGGAGCATCTCACAGACCCAGGGTCCAAGATCCTGAAGTCTGTGTCCAGAAAGAAGGCAAACAGTGAGAAGCTTCTGTGGGAAGCTTTATGGACAACTGCGGGGGTCCCAGACTTCCTGTGAGTCCAGAGTGAGAACCCCATCCGACCAGCCCACCTCTTCACTTCAGACTAGAGTACGCGGCTCAGGTTCTGTCCTGGAACGGGGCTATTCTGTGGTGGGGACAGTGGGGTATGAAGATAAGGGTGAGAGGAGGGCGGGGTCCGAGCGGGTCCTGAGTCAGGACCCAATGACACAGAGGCGGGTCCCTTCTGCCTTATCTTCTGTGTGTCATTCTCCTGAATGAGCAGCTATTTCCCTCTCCCTCTGCTGCTTGGGGTCCTCCCAGATGTCATGGAGGTCTTTGAGATTCCGAAGGCACTACCACGTGTCCCAGATGAAAAATGCACATAAACAGTGAGCTTTAGGGACAACCGCAGGGGTCTAAGACCAAGTGAGTCCCCAGCCAAGACCCTCGGGCAGCCCCTGTGCTTTATGCCCGGAAGCTCCTGGCTGGAGTCCTGAACTCAGGTGGGAACCTCCGGGAAGTGCTGAGGACTCCAGCCCTTCCCTGGGCTCAAGTATTCCATAGACAAGACCTTCAACTTTTGGGATTCAGGAACTTCAAACTCTGTGTAATTTGGCTTCAGTTCATCTCTAGGACCCAAAGAAAGAGGCTAAAGTTTATCTGGCGGATGTTTTCAATGGTCGGATCCCAGAGGGGAAGTTCTTGGCTGGGGACCCAGGTAAACAGTCAAAGAAGGCTTCAGGGGGCTAAGGAGCGAACCTGGATTCTCTTCCATTTATACCATTTACCCAACCACCTTAGGTCTGTGGCTTCTAGTTCTGACTTTTCTTTCCATTACCTGTTTTTCAAAATGCACCTAAACTGCTCACACTCTCCCTGCCGGGCACCGGCTGTTAGAATGCACAGCTTCAGAATTCTGTACATGGAAGCTTATTAATCGGATGCTCAAAAATCAGAGCAGGTGGTACTAAGAAAAGATTCAGGACCCAACCCAAGAGTGAACGCATGGTGTTTTCATAAGTGACATTTGTGACATTGTCCTCTAGGTGCCCAACTTCTCTGATTCAAAAGCAAAACATGTTTTAAAAAGTCAAATACAAAATGAATCCTTTATATTCATATCCATGGGCTTTAAAAAAATGTTTAGGCCTGCTACTTTATTTTCAATGGTATAAGTCACCCTCAGTAGTGGTGATTGGTGGTCTGATATAAATACATGCTTTGATTCTTAGTGTTAAAGACATAAATAAGTATTCCTAACATGCTGTTTGGCTTAGAGACCTTTTTTCCCACTGTATTTCACTTTCTACCTGTGATCAGGGGTCACTAAGATCTGTGCTGCGCTACCACCACCCAGAAACTTCAGGAAATGACATTTTGTCAGTTTCAGCGCCTTGTTAAATCTGTGCCACCAAGAAACTGCACATTTCTGCCTCCTCGCCAACTCACATCTCCCTCTCCGCTCTGCCGCCCACTGAGCCAGCCCATGCCAGGCCCCCTCAGCCCCTCTGGGACTCGTAGGGTAGCCTCCTCTTTTTGAAGTTCAGCCTCCCTATTTCTAATTCACCATGTTAGACGCACCTGCTCAGGATGCTTCTCTATCCAGAAGCCCAGCAAGTGGACCCCTTCTGCCAACCATCATTTCAGACCCACAAGATCTGGCCCCAGCCATTCTGCTCAGTTGACCTCTAGGACCCCCGGCTTCAGTCAGACCATGCCACTCCCTCTCTTACACCCTCCCCCGACACCCCAGGCTTCTCGTGGCACTGAGACCGAGATCTCACCCCCTTGTTTCTGCTCCCAGAGCCCCAGGGACCCGTCCCCAGCTCTCTCTCATGCTTCTCCATTGCTGATCCTTTCCAGCCACCCCAATGTCTCTGTGTTCCCAGAACACTCCACCCGCTTCCACCCCGACGCCCGCACACCAGCTTCCTTCCAGCCTTAGCGCCCTTCCTCTCGCGTCTCACTGGGTGGCTTCTCCTGGTCACCCTACCCTTCGCCTCCACACACCTCCCGACCTCCCTTCGCAGCCACTCTGGCTCACGGCCCCATGTCAGTCCCCTGCCTGGTGCTGAGAGCCATCTGCCCCTCCGGGCGTTTGCTTGCTCAGTGCTGCCATGTGGCATCGTCGGGGCCGGTCTTGTTGTCTGTCCCCCTGGATGGATGGCCCCTTCCGTGAAGACAGGAATCTTGTCTGTCTTATCATTTTAATGCTGGAGTCATGAACAGTGCCTGATACGTTCTAGGCGTGTGACAAATGAATGGTTCTCGGAACAAGTAATGGGAATGAGCACAGGCCGCCCGGAGGGAGCTCCCCGGTGGCCGCGGGGAAGGAGGGGTGCGTGGCCGCAAGGCTCCTCTGAGGAGGCAGGTGCTGGACTTACAGACTTAGGCTCACACCCAGGAGAGGGACTGACAGGTAGGATGAGGCTGTGTCTTAAAGGGCCTTGCGTGTGGCATCTTGAATAGTGTGGACGTGTTGCTCAGAGTGGGCACAGCTGCTGGATTTTAAGCAAGGCGGCGGTGTGATCAGAGTTTTGTGTTAGGAATACCACTCTGACTGCCTGACAGAGAAGGACTAGGGGAGGGGCGACCCTGAAGCACAGAGACCCCTCAGAAGATGCCTGCCCCGGCCCCAGAGAGAAATGGGGGGGGCTGAACTAGTCAGGGCCAGTACGGTGGGAAGGTGGACAACAGCCAGCTGTCTGGTCAGAAGGCAGAGTCAGCTGAACAGACGGCAGGTTGATGTGCAGAGTGTGGACACAGAGATGTCCGTGGCCCCACCTGCTGGCCAACCTCAGGGTCCCTGTGGCGGGGGGACGACGGGCTCGGGTAGTGACTCTGTTAGTCAGAACGTATGTCCCTTGTATGAGGCCCCGTGGAGCCGGTGCTTTTCGGAGTCACGCCTACCCCAGCCGTCCACTGAAGCTCACCTCTCCTCCCCTGCTTTAAGAGCTGCTGCTATTTGATGCCCCTCCACACCTTCCTGAAACAGGCCGCCAATGGTAATAGCCCTTGACCCCCCACTCACTGCACCACCTACCGCTGCCGCCAGCATGGAGGCGGGGCACTGAGTCCTGCCCGCAGGTGAGCCACCAGGCTGCCTGCTTCCCTCACGCTCAGGAATGGGGCAAAAAAGGAGAGCATGTGTTTCTGCACGTGATCTGTCTGATCCGAACACGCTTGTCAATGTGATGCGACTGCTGCCGTAACCCCTACACGCTTAGTTGCGATCATCACACACTTTTCCAACTCAGCACACATTTTTACTGCCGGCCATCCTCCGTGGTGGCTCACTCGTTCATTCATTCGCTCATGAGGTACTTACTGAGCATGAAGCCTCCACCCCCTGCTGGGCCAGGGACCCCACTGAACATCCTGAACATCACAGCCCAGCCCCGGCCCCGGAGCCGCCTCTGCCAGCAGCCCCTCCAGCCGGGAGCGTTCGCGTTTGCTTTGCCGTCAGACGGCAGGCCTGGTGCGTCAGGGGTGGGGATGCCGCCGTCTGGCATCCGCTGGCAAACAGATGATGTCAGAGAAGATGTCAGAGAAGAATTAAAGTGGCAGCAGAAAGACTGCAGGAGGTAACGGTTTGGTGCCCAGGACGCCGGTGGTCAAGTCAGCAAGAGCCGCTTTGCAGGCTGTCTTTGGGGCAGGGCTGCAGATAGAGGGGCAGCAGGAGAGTTAAGAAAGCTGAGCTGAGAGGAAAATAGAAATCAGGCTGTCTGGGCAGAGAACAAAGGTCTAGGGAGGGGCGTTCTTCCATTCTGCTTCTCAAGTCCAAAGCTGTGGTCCGCACATGGCCATGGGGACAGAACCTCCTCTCCGTGGTGCCCTCTCTGCCAGCTTCGCAGGCCGCCTGGGATGCTGGCGCTTGGGCCTCATCCTGGTCTCTAGGACGTCTTCCTATACAAAGAGAGGTCGAGGGAAAATACTTTCTCTCTGCCCTTGCTTCACCCTGCAATCACTTTAATTTGTTTGGAAAAGTCAAATTAAAGATAACCACCCTGAGAACGGGCCTTGATGAAGATTTATGCAGGACAGGATGTTCCTCTGATAACCCAGGCTCAGACCCCTTCCCAGGGGCTTCCAGTTTGGAGGGGCTGCCAGAGAACATTAAAGATTAGCAGAGCACGTGGCTGCCTCTCCTGGACAGGCATTTCCTCTTGTTCCGACGCTTAGCTTGCCTAGCAACCCAAGGGAAGAGCCCTGAACTCTTTGGCAGCCTAGAGTCAGCACCCTCTGAAGACGGTGCTGTAGAGCTGGAGCAGGTGGGAGGCTGCCAGCCAAGGAGCTTTCGAGGAACGTTACCATGCAAAGGAATGTTCATAGGCATCGCCCACCCCCACACCCACACAAGCCCTTCTCGATTGCCAGGGGTTCCACGTGCTGCCTGAGAGTGAACACAACACAGAGATTTGAACCTAGAGTCCTTGAAACATGGGCACACAACCTTCTGAAATTGCCTGAAAAATTGCAAGTGTGCCCTGTTTGAAGAATCCTGACTACGGCTTTTATCAGACTTTCAAAGGAGTCATGAGCCCCACAGGAACAGAAGTCACTGTGTTAACCCAACATGTACCCAGGTGAGCGGACGGGGCACCCCACCTACCCCACTAGTGTCAGGAGGGGACGCCTCCACCCGAGAAGAAATCCAGCCCAGGTTCAAAGGCAAATACTGGGGTCTTTCTCCTGAAGGCTACATTACTGTGCTCCTCAAAGGCAGGCTCCCCAAAAGAATTTATGGTCCCTCACACCTTTCTAAGTGGAGAGCTAAAATTTTTCACCATAAGTTTTTAAAGTCATAAAAGATGGGATTTCCAATACAATAAATAAATGTCACATCAGTTCCTAAACTATACCAAATGGAATGATGTACCATAGTCATCTGATAACCCTGTTCATTTAAAGAAAAATCATAAACAAGCTCCTAAGAATAGGAAATTTTATATTATTCATTTTCTTATCATTAATACCTATTTCTGTCCCACTTTCTCTAGAGAATTTTAACCAAATGTAATACACTTTAAAGCTTAAGGTTTTTCCTTGATCACTCTATCATACTTCTTTATAAAAATTAAACTACATCAAAATTTCAAAGATTTTAATTTTCTAAAACCATAAGTCTTTACATGTTAATTTTTTCCCTTTATGATTTAGCATGACAACTGCTTTTAATATGCAATTAAATAAAACAGCATAAATAGCAACCAAAGTTTGATAAGTAACTTAAACTTTTAGATTTATAATGCTATTGAAGGTGCATCTCCAAATGAGAAGTTCTTTTTTCCCCTATTTGTTCTTGTAACTCCACATGGATACTATTTATCAATACCATCAGCCAACTTCAGCAACTATCCTATTTCTATATTTCATTTTTTAAACCTTTAAATGTTGGGAAACTTCATTCCCCTGAATACGTAAATGGAAGCTGACATTTTATTATAGCGATGTCTCTAAATTCTTTGAACTCCTTCTAAGATATATGCCCAAGATTCCACAGTGATCGATCACCAACATTCACTCATAACGTAAATCACATCAACGTCCAGTCCTTGTCTACACCTGAGGGCTTCCCTGGGCCGTAGGTCCTGGGGATGAAAGGAGAGAGACGGAAACTGCGGACTTGGGAAGGATGTGTCGCACTGTCCCTGGAGGCAGTCACACCTGTGACGAGGTTTCGGATTCTGCCTGTTTGGCAGGACGATGTCTTTACATACAGGGCCATGGCCCCATAAAAAGGAAGAATCAGATTAGAAAAAGAGGTGATTTCTTTTATAAAATGGGAGAGGACGCATTCTTGAGCACATCGTTTTTAGGAAAGTGCACGTGCAAGTTGGGAATCTGAACGTAGATTTACTTAAAGTCTCCTTGCTGTATATCCTCAGAGAGTCAGGTTCCTCCTGGTTTAAGGATGTCTGGTGTGGCACCTGGCATGGCACTTTAATGGGTATGGAATAGAAATGTGGTATTGATACTAGCTGGTGATACAACAAAATCCAGAGAGACCTCAGTAGGACTCTGTCCTCACTAAGGGATCATCGCCACACTTCCTGTGCAAATAAATCACACCTTAAGCCACAGCATCATGATACCCTCGGGGTTTGACCCCATGTCCTGCAGAGGCCAGCGGATCAGTGTCCTAGCTCATAAGGATGCTAAATAGGCTTGTTTGTCAAAACCAATATTCAGAAACGCCTCAGTGGAAAATGCCAGTCTTTTTATACAAAGATAACCTGTTACCTGGGACATTTGCACTGATTTATGTCTGCCTCCCTCTCTGGTCAGGCTGTAGTCAGCAGTGCATTTGTCTGTGAGTGCACACACATGCTCGTACACACACATGCCTGTGCACACATGCACACACACCCCCACCCACTCCAAATACCCTATACCATCCCCCACTGGAGCCTGGTTTGTGGCCAGTCAGAATCTCTGTACAGGAGGGTGTTCAGGTGGTGCTCAGGCTGGAAGGGTGACAGAAGCTCGATTGCAAAGTGAATGCCCCACCTTCACATTGCTGGTTGTGCTGGGTGGCCTGGGAGGGGCACCAGTGCCAGGCTGGGCGATGCCAACACTCAATCGTCATGACAATGCGGCAGCGTGTGGATGCGGAAGCCTGAGGTTTAACCAGGTCAAGAAGGGCAGCCAGAGCATCCCGGTCCAAGGCAGACTCCGTGCTGTCGTTCAGAGCCCGTTATTGTAGACCCGCCAGCCTCAGGGATCCTCGAGCGCCTGGGAGCGGGACAGGAAGAGCATTTCCAGGTCTCACTTATTTAACTATATTCAGAAGCATGAATAGATTTGATGGAATCCCAACAGAAGGGGGCTTGTGAAAAACAAGACTTGGCTGTAGATCCAAGGGGAGTGAGATTATATCTACATTAATAAATAGTAAATATATATGTGCACACACATATATATAGAGAGAGAATGTTGAATAATATTATAGATACATGCTGAAACGTGAAGCAAGAGGATGAAAAATAAATCAGTAACACAGAACAGATGGCACAGCACACAGTGAGCTGGTGCTCCGTTCATTAAACTGCAGGTCAGACACTGTCTGCGTGGACCAGGGGCTCTCCTGACACTTCCTGCTGTTTTCTCTGGCACGCCAGATCTGGAAGGGAGATCACTGCATAATTTTAATGACAGTATTTTTCTTACATACTGTGAAGATGTATCATAAAAGAGAAACATTAGTGGCACAAAAATACTCAGTAACTTGCTGTTGAATGAAGGCATGAGTCTGTCCTCAGCCGCCGTGCAGGGTCTGACCAGCGCAGGACTCAGAAGCACAGCAGAGAGGGAACAGAGGGCTTGAGTCACGCCCCCAAAATGGAAACAGACAGGATAAGAGCTCAATACGGTGATTATTAGCTAGAATTTTTCTGGCCACGCTGATTGCAGACGGATTCTAAAAGGGGCTTTCTTGTTCCAGGCCAGCTGCCTAGAAGCCATCTGGAACTGGAGATTTCAGAGCGTGGTCTTCAGAACCGCCCAACTCCTCTGCTTTGGTGTCCTGGTTGCTGGTAAGCTTCCTGCTAACACCCCACCTGGCCCGGAGTCACGGGGGTTCCTTCCCCGAGGGGGAGGAGTGGGGAACGGTAGCCGCCTGTGATGAGGCCTCGGGGAAGTGTCCACACCCAGATTCCTGGGAGGCAGGTGCGCCCAGCGCCAGGCATGCTGTAAAAGGCTTCAGGGAGAATGTGAACCCATATACCCAGGACCAGTTTATGCATCGGGCACTGAGGGTCAGGTCTACATTGTTTCTACAAAAATGTTTCAGTTTTTTTCAAAGTCATTTCCTTCCAGGTCAAAGAAAATGTTCTAGTATTTACCACATTATTATACTCATAAAACCATGTGGTTGTGAAATACAATTTTTAATAGATAATTACTGAGGAGGAGGCTCAGAGTCTGTGAGTCACACCACAGCCCTAGAGACACCAGAACAAAGCCTTATGGCCAAACAATGCGATCAGAGGCGCTGGCAGTGGAGACGAATGCACTGACCCTCCTGCCAGCAGCCGAGGACACGGCCGAGCAGGACAAGACTTCACAAACAGGAAAGAGCCATTTCCAGGCCTGACAGCTCCCTGCACAGCTCTGCACACGGAGCTGGCCCCCGGCTGGCAGTCCCCCTACCACAGCACCTCCCATCACAGTGGGCACTGAAGGGCACATTCCTCATTTAACTTGATCCACCAACAGTTCTTTAAAAGGCCTGTTTTAAGCCCTACTGTGAGGACTGAGTAGGCAGAGAGAGAGGATGCAGAGTCATTTATCAAAGAGAAACAGCCAAGAGCCGTGGGAGGAGGTAAGACAGCAAATCACATCTGGTTTCTGACCTGCCTCTGCCCAAGCCCGCTGCGCTCCACTCAAGGATTTATTGAACAACCGTTAACTGCCAAGCTCTGCGCTTGGTGTTAAGGACCCGGAGCTAAAAAGAGACCATCATGTGCATTCGCAGCCTAGCAGGTGTGGGCATGGCCCAGGAACCCACCTTACAATGCAGGGCAGCAAGGGAAGGGAGGCGGACATGGGGCAGAGGGAGGCTGGGGAAGGCCGGGAAGTGGGGGAGGGAAGGTCGCCAGGCACAGGTGGGGGACAGGGGGCAGAATGGCCGGAAGAGCCAGTGTGACCCCAAGGAAGTGGGGCTCTGCTTGGCTAAGAAATTAAATAAGGGAGGTGCTGAGGCTGCGCCAGCAGGTGGGCACTGATCTGAAGCATCTCAGTCTACACGGGGAGAGAGGACGTGCTGATGGGAGGCAGCCCTTAAGACATCTTACATGTCATTCGATTGGGACTTGGCCACGTTACTTAACGTCTCCTCCACTTACAAAAGGATAGAAGATCCGATGGCCTTCAAGTTCCCTCCAAGTCTGGTATCTTAGGGTGTCAAATCTTTAATACCAAGGAACCTCAGAAGAGGACATTCTCCTCTTCTGCCTCCATGTACACTTTTACATGACAGGTGAAAACCACTCTTTTTCCTTAAAACAACAAGATTAGACATAAAACAGTCACGTTCGGGGGACCTGTCTTCTACAAGACACTCACCCGTGTTCACACACGCGGGTGCTCAGGGCCCCCTCTGCTCAGGGCTGCTAACCCGGTCCTTACTCTCACTCAGAGCTTGTGGACCGGAAGGCCGTGGCGGCGTGGACCTACCACTACAGCACCAAAGCCTATTCGTGGGACAACTCCCGGGCATTCTGCCAGAGCCTCTACACGGACTTGGTGGCCATCCAGAACAAAGACGAAATCGCCTACCTCAACGACGCCCTGCCTCGCTTCAGCTCTTACTACTGGATCGGGATCCGCAAGATCAATGGCAGCTGGACCTGGGTGGGAACCAGGAAGACCCTCACCGCGGAGGCCGAGAACTGGGCGGAGGGCGAGCCCAACAACAGGAGGAACAACCAGGACTGCGTGGAGATCTACATCAAGAGCTCGTTGTCACCCGGCAAGTGGAACGACGAGCCCTGCGGAAAGAGGAAGCGGGCCCTGTGCTACACAGGTGGGCCTCCTGCACCCTGCGGCCCGGGGTCCAAAAACGGGTGCCGTCCCCGCTCCCTGAATCAGTGAGCTGATGGTAACCGGGGCCACGGGGCCAGCGGTGTCGGGCCACCAAGCCAGGGATGTGAAAGCAGAGCAAATGCCAGTCACGCGGCTTTCCTGGGCACCTTGAGCACATGAGGTCAGGGCCAGAGGAGACCAGCTCTTTGAAGCTAGAAGGAGATGTTGGTATCGTCCAGCCCACGCGTCTCATTGTGTAACTGACAGACGGGATGCTCAGCAGGTTGTGGCTCCACACCCAGAGCTTTCCTGCACCGCTGAGCCCTTGTATAGGAGATGGTGTGGGTGGAGCCGGGACGTGGCCCTGCCCTCGGGGAGCTGTGACCAGCACCTGCAGGACCCCAGGGGATCCCAGGCACTGTCACCGGCTCCCGAGCCACAGAGCCGATCCGTGTAGGCTGCACTCGGTCCTCACGAGAGGCTCCTGGGGCAGGTCCTCCTCCTCCCGTCTTGCTGGTGAGGGACCGTCTGGAGCGCCCAGGAATCTGCACGGGGGTCTAATCTGCTTGAGGACGGGAGCCAGTTTCAGCCTCCTGTTACCTGCAGAGTCGGCGCCTCTTAGCCACATACGGTGCCACGCTCTGCTCTGCCCCCCATGAGACGGAGCACACGGCCAGGGTCACAGGTGCGGCAGGCTCCCTGCAACAACAGCCCGCTCCAGGAGCGCTGGCCTGTGGGGGCTCTGGGGGGGCAAGGAAGGGAGGAGGTCACCGAAGGTGCTGGCCTGTGGGCACAGTGGATTCCCAGCCCTCCGAGGTCCAAAGTGAGCAGGCCACCAAATCGTGGCCTCCCCGCCCTGTACCTTGTGGCCCTGCAGCAAGGAGGTTCACGGGGCGGGACGGTCTGGGAAGCGAGGAGGGGTCGTGGTGAAGTGGGAGTATGGCAAGGAGCGGGGATGGCCCTGCACCTCTGCCAGAACCGATTCTGCCTGCCTGACGGGCTTCCCAGCTCCAGGAGCCCCCGCCCTGGGGGCCCGCAGGCACCACCGGAAGCTTCGTCTTCAGTAAGCCCTCCTGCAGATGCCGCACTCTGCTGTCCATGCTCGCAGTTCTTTAGATTATAAACACGGCCCCTCGCAAGCCCTCAGCAACGGGGAACCGAGCACACGGCGGGGTTCCCTCTCCCTCCCTCCCCTCACCCGTGCCCCCAGCTGAGGGAACACATATCCTTATGCACGGCATGTAGTCAGGTCTCATTTTTTAAGTTACTTATTGGAGAAACAAATAAAATAATGCCCAGCTCTTCACAGGCCAGGGTGGACGCTGCCAGAATACGAGCTCGTCCTGCCGCCCTCTCGGTGCCCCCCGCCCTCCCCGGGCCGTCCTCCCTAGAGCTGCCCCAGGCAGATCGTCCTGGCTGCCCCTGGCTGTCCCAGTGTGCCCCTGCCTCCACTCCCTGCCAGCCTTCAACCCACGTCTGCAGAACAGTCTTCCCAGTAAGGCTTGTGAAAAATTACACGAGAGACTGGAAATGACTGGGATGGACGGTGCCCCTCCTCTGACCTGCAGCAGGCATGTCACTAATGGCTCCAGGTTCATCTGGGCACCTGGCTTCCATCCCCACCAACTCAGGGCCGGGCAGCCACTAGCATTGATGGGCATTTTGCCATACAAGACGTAAAGGGTGCAGGGAAGGAACGGTCAGTTCCCTGTGGCAGAAAGATGAGAAATAGATACAGATACTGAAATGAGAAATTAAGTCGGAATGATTCCCTAAACTCTGGGATTTGTTAGGCTGCAGAAGAGGCTATAGAAAATGATTTACCCGTTGAATCATTGTGTTCTTTCCGGAAGATCCAAAGGAACAGATAAGGTACTGGTGTGCCCGGAAACCCTGAAATAGAGTGAATACAGAACATTGGCTGCTGCTTCGTTCCTAGAGCTCTGAGGTGCTGAGGAGGCTGCAGTCAGGACAAAGTGCATGCGCGGAGCCCTTAGGGCGGGCAGGGCACTGGTGAGGGCCAGGTGAGCAGATGGAAGGTGCGGACCCAACATCCGTGGGCAGCTCCTGCGGCCTCTGCACCTTCTCTTCACTTAGAAGCCATCCCAGAGCCTCCGGGCGGCTTCTCCGAATCACGGGCACCCGGGGGCTTCCTACTGTAGAACCCCTTCCATCGCTCATAGCATCGGAGCACCTCAGGGCCGACAGGGAATGTGCGGATGGCCCGGCACGGCTCTCTCTGTGACGTACGGCCTCCTCTTGTGCTAGACCCCAAAGTGGACCACGTGCGGCCAGGGCTCGCACAGAGGCAACGCCCCGGACGGTCGAGCCACAGACCTTGAGGGAGCACCTGTGATCACGGGCCGCAGAGCGGGTAATGACCAGCAGTGTCGGACCCTCGCCGGTCCTGACCTACTGCTGTAATGCCCGTCACAGGGGTTCTGTGGTAACAACTCTGTGAATGCTCTCGGGTACAAAGCGTCTTTTGTGCCGTTGAGGAGCTTCTCTGTGTACACACGTATCAGTAGGTCCATTGGTCCTGCGTGTCCACACATCACAATCCCTCCTTAGGCAACGCTAACCAGAGCCTCACATGCAGCCAGGCCAGGCTGCAGCCGGCTCTTACCTCGCCCTTTGCAGGAAACAGGCAGCTCTGCAGACGATGTCCTGGTCTGGCTCAGTCTTACCCCAGAGGCGCTGAGCCTGTGGCTCAGAACATGAATCATTGTTCCCTCCCACTTCCTGGGAATGCCTGTGGTCCTGACCCTTCTGTGTCCACGCAGCCTCCTGCCACAACACGTCCTGCAGCGAGCAAGGAGAATGCATCGAGACCATCGGGAGCCACACCTGCTCCTGCCACCCTGGCTTCCACGGCCCCGAATGTGAGCACGGTGAGGCCTCCACTGTGCTGACCCTCTGGTGCTCCCTGGTCTTGTCCTAGACGTGGGAGGCTCTTGGCCCTCTGTCCTCTGCCAGTTGGCCCCACTCATACTGTCCCTAGACACACACCCTGAGTAGACACTTCATTCTCAGAGAGAACATTTGCTCATAAAATCTCAAAAGGTCAAAGGGAAAGAATGCAAAACAGAAGCTATTTTTACTAGTTTGAAATAAAAACCAGGGAAAGAGTGATTATTTCCCTAGATGCAGCCAAGATGAAGGAACCAAGTGAAGATGATGAGGTTGGGTTAGAAGCTTGGCAAGATGAGGGTGGAGAGGCGCACGCATAGGTCCAGCTGCCTGACACCGTCTCCAAGCCCTGCAATGACAGGTGAACCCTTTGTCCTGCAGTCAGAGAGTGCGGAGAACTTGACCTCCCTCCACACGTGCTCATGACCTGCAGGCATCCGCTGGGGAGCTTCTCGTTCAAGTCCCAGTGCAGCTTCTACTGCGCGGAAGGCTACCTGCTGAACGGACCCAGCCAGCTGGAATGTCTGGCTTCTGGCAACTGGACGCATAAGCCCCCGCAGTGTGTAGGTATGTAGACTCTACTCTTCCCATCCTCTCTGACAAGGGGAATTTCAGAGGTGAAAATAAGCTTTCTCCACTAAGAAACATGAGAAAAATGAGGACCTGCGCTAGATGGGAAATTCTGGTTTTTTTCCCATCAACCAGAGTAACACTAATTTTGGTGTTCATGGTAATTTGAATCAGCTTGATTCTTGATTCTCAGGCAAAACCATTACAGAAGGAGCCCTGTCCCTTTGTTAACCACAAAGTCCACAAAGTGAGCAGGTGGAATAATGGGGACTTAGTGGGGCCTCACCTTCTACCTGCCGCCCAGTAGGTTGGGTGCCTCTGGGATAGGACAAGGGTGTCAGGCCCTAGAAAAACAAGAGGCCGATTGCACCACAAACACAGTTAACAAGTCCTCCTTCGGCCGCTCACACCCTCACACCCTCAAGCAATATCAGAATGACCTCATTCATGACTTTCACCCCTGGGGACGGGTGGGATCTGCCCATCTAGGCAGATACTGGAAGACCTGCCAGGACGGGTTTATAGAGGTGAAGGGCGTAAAGGACATGAGAAAAGCTCTTTTTTTAATGAGTCTTTTTGTTTTTAAGACATTCAGCCACCCAGAGGACTGGTACCCCAAGCCTGGACAGGCATCTTTAGGGTCTCCTGACCTTACAGATTCCCGGCTGCCCTGATTTCCAGGGGGGCTCCACCCCTGCCCTTCTTTCTCAGCACCTCTCTGTCCTCGGCGGGTCCCTCCAGCTGGGCAGTGTCCACTCTGGGAAGCCCCTGGTGATGGACCCACGGACTGTGCTCATCCCCCCACGGCCTCTGCATGTGGCTCCGGCTCCAGATTTGAGTGTGAGCCTGGCTCACGTGCTCCCTGACCGGCCCTAGCCAGCGCCCTGTACCCCCGCCAGCCTGTGAGGGAAGAGTTTCCCTTTAGCGGCCACCCAGCCACACCGGAGGGAGTCAGGGCACAGGGGATGGGCTGCTAAGCTTAGGGCGACCTCCCTGGGCTCTGCCCCTGGAACACGGCTGCTCTCGCCGGGAGGTGGGCTGAGAACCACAAGGTGCTTTGCGAGGATGAAGCATCTGAAACCACACATACGAAGTACCTAGCATAGCCTGGGCACCCCGTCAGCCTTCGTTTCTGCCTCTTTTCTCCCTCCTTGGTATGTACAAGTTGTAGGCAGCGTCCGGTGCCTGCCCAGAAGTCAGCCCGGCGACTGTTAGGACAAACGGGGAGACCCCTCCCTGGAGCCTGGGGGCGCCTCTGCAGGGCAGCAGAGGGGTGCTGGCTGGAAAGGAGCCGCGGGGTCCTGGGCAGTTACCCCCGACCCCTGAATTCTGAGCAGTCGCCTCCCACCCTCAGCTCACCTAAGGGGAGACGGGAGCTGTGTTAGCGAGTCCCCAGGAGGCTGGACTACAAGCCCAGCTCTGCTGCCGTCTAGACGCGAGACCCGGGAGTCATTAAAGTTTCCGAACTGTAAAGTCAGAGAGAAGCACTGGAGAATCTAGTTCTTAAATGCTTCGATTCTGTAAAAACCAGAGGTGCAAGCCCAGGCAGTGAGGGCGCTTCCTCACACCCCAGATACGCACAGGAACAGCTGGAGGCGGAACGCTCTATCAAGGGAGCGCGGGAGGAAACCAGCGCCCAGGACGGAGGTCACCAGGCCGAGCTGCCCAGGGGCTCCCCTGGGCCTGGCTCCGCAGTGGAAGCCCGATTAGCACGACATCTGGGCCCTGGAGACGAGGCCCAAGGGCGGCTCGGGAGCCTGGGTAGCGGGTTCAGCAGCGGGCGACGCCTCTCCCCTTTGCCTTTAAAGTCCGGCCTGTTCTGTATCTACTCTTTCCAGATTCAGTTATTGAACACCTTAGACACAAATTCTGTGAATTACTTCATATTTATGATATTATGATATAGTTATGTATATTTTGTGACATTATTCACAATAAGTTTGTGAATTACTGGACACAAATATTGCCCACACGTATTCGTATTTATTTAAGCAGGGCCTTGAAGGTGCTGCCAGGCTCTGGGTCCCTGCTCTGAGCCACAGCCCAGCCCCCAGGGCACAGCAGCCGGTGGGCAGAAGTCCCCACATGGATGCTGCAGGGGCAGGGCCCCGAGCTGGGGAGACGCCACACGGGCGGAGGGCAGGGGGTGATGCAGGCAAAGGCGGCACAGGGGCTGCTTCAGGCTGCCTCCCTCTGGGGAAAGCGAGGGTTTTGGTTCTGAACAGATGGTGACCGGGCTGGGAGACACGGGGCACTTCTCAGCCCTCCTCAGCCCAGCTTCAGACGGCAACTTCTCCCACTTAGCAATCACGTGCCAGCCGCTGGAGGGTCCTGCTCACGGCAGCCTGGACTGCCCCCCACCCCCGGCAACGTTCTGGTACCAGGCCAACTGCAGCTTCCACTGCACCGAGGGCTTCGCACTGAGAGGAGCTGCCTCGGTCCAGTGTGCCAGCCCCGGAGAGTGGACCGCGCCGGCCCCAGTCTGCCAAGGTACCACTCACCCCACAGCTCCTTCCGTGCCCTCGGGCCCAGAGGCGGCAGTGCCGCCCGGTCATCCCAGGCATGTGCCCACCCCCTCATGCCAGCTCTGGGGAGCCCATGGTGGGCACACATTCACTGCAGCGTGCTGTGACTCCAAGGAGGGGCACTGATGCCCACACATGGGGTGGGTGGGTATAGGCTGGGGCTGGAGGGCGGGCCAGTGCAGGAGCCGCATGGCGCGGGGCAGAGTGCAGGCAAGGCACCAGTCTGGTGCTGTCACCTCCCGGCACCAACGTGGGGCCCTCGGGGGCTCGGGGCTCTTAACTGCCTTACATGCCTGCCTCCCTAGCGGCTGTGAACCCAGGTGAGTAAAACAAGCTTAAACTGCTGGGAGCTGTACAGATGCAGGTGAAATAATACCAGTGTTCTATTATATATACATATTTATATTGTAAATCCTGTCTGTGGTCTGACTTTACAAAATCATCTCCTTTCCATAGTCCATGTTTCCTGTACTTTGCTCTTACAGGGCATCTAAAGCGTAGGGGAGCTACAGGATCGTTCTTATCAGGGGCACCCTGCCCAGAAGTGCACTACTAGCACTTTGTGTGGCCACTTACTGGGTCCCTGGGCAATTATGCGAATCCCTGGCTCTGTGTATGCTCTGATTTTAAAATGAGGCCGTGGCTTGAAACAGCGTCTCAAAGAGAGATTTGCACACCCTTGTTCATAGCGGTGTGATATAGTTAAAAGGTAGAAGAAATCCAAGAGTCTTTCAGTGGATGACTGGATAAGCAAAACGTGGTCTGTGCGTATGGTGCAATATCATCAGCCTTGGAAAGGGGGGCATTCTGACCCCTGCCACAGCCTGGATGCACCCCGAGGACTCATGCTCAGTGAAATAAGCCAGTCACAAAAGGACACATGCCATGTGATTCCACTTACGTGAGGAGCTTAGAATAGCCCAGAGCAGACGGGGGGCTTCAGGGAGAGGGGGGAAGGGAGCTAGCGCTCAGTGGGTCTGGGCGTTGGGTTTGAGACAATGAAGAAAGTTCTGGAGGTGGTGGTGGTGGTGATGGCTGCACAACAATGTGTGTGGACTGACCACCACAGATGGGCACTGGAAGTGGGTTCAGGCTTTATGCTGTGTGTCCCACCACGGTAAAAAATGGGCAGCTGTGAGGTCACCAGGCTGTGGTGCCTTGCGGTGGTGAGATTCCTGGGGGTGACGGGATGTTGAGGCGGCACCTGTGGGGTGCGGAGGATGTGCCCGTGAGGTACCGATGTAACCAGAAGAGGTGACTGGTATCTGCTAGGCATCCAGAGGTGTGGCCGCAGGGGCCCCCTTGACAGGCTCTCCGGGTGCCTCCTGCTTTGACAGCTGGGTCTGCATCTGACGCACAGCTTCAGCGACATTACTGCTTCCTTGAAGCGACGGCCCTGCCACCCACACTGCCACTTCTGCAGGGGGTGTTTACTGGGCTCTTAGCCTGACTCTGCAAGGCAGTGACAACACTGCCCCCGTTTTAAGGACAAGGAAAGCCCGCGCGTACATAGAGTATGTGTGTGCTGGCCACCCACGACCACATGTCTCGTACGGTTGAAATCATGCTGTATTCATTATTTCTATTCTGCTTTTACACTTCACAACACACACCCTGTATCTTTTCAAGGTGAAACGTATCATTTTTAGTGACCTTTACTCCTTTCATGGATCTGCTATAATTTATTTTCAGCCTCTGATCAGTGACATTTATGTTTGCTTTCAATATTTTTCTTGTACAAATAATGTTTCGTTAAAAAAAAAATCTCTGAATTAACTTCTTGATGTGCATCTTGATCACAGATAGATTCTTGGGTCCCAAAGTACGATAGTTTGGACATCGTCGAGTCGTGTCGCTTAAATGCGCGATAAAGGCTCGGCTTGTTCACCGTGAGACGCTTGCTGTGAGTGAGTGGGGCGTCTCTCACCCCCAGTTCAGAAACCGCTGTTCCTGCAGCTCAAGGATTAGGGTCAAGACCAATGCGTCCCTGGTGTCACAGCTTCCTAATGGCCTCCCTCCTTCTCCCCTAGCTGTGCAGTGCCAGGACCTTCCGGCTCCACACAAGGCCCGGGTGACCTGCTCCCACCCCTTTGGTGCCTTTAGGTACCAGTCAGCCTGCAGCTTTGCCTGTGAGGACGGCTTCCTCCTGGTGGGAGCGAGTGCCCTGCAGTGTCTGGACACTGGGCACTGGAGCGCTGCCCCCCCGGAATGCCAAGGTAAGGGTCGTTCTTTCCGACATCTTGGAAATAAGTTGTAGGCTGTATTTACAAGGCTAAAGTTTAGAGGCAGTCACTGTCTGGGGGACCAGTAACTTGAAATGGACTGGAAAATTAACAATCGCTTGCATCCCATAACCCAGCAGCCAATGACTGCAGAGACAGTAAGGCGAGGGGAGGGACGTCTGGCAATAGGAGATCCGCCATCTCCTTACAAGGTCTCTCCCTGGGCCTGGAGACTCCTATCATGAGCCACGTGCACTGTTCTCACTCAGCAAAAAAATAGTCTATGGAAAGAAGGGAAAACCAGCCTTAGGAGGGTTGTCCCGAGGCTGGCCTGGCACTCCACCCCTCAGAGCCCTCCTACTGGCAGAATGGGAGGCAACCATGGGGGTAGCATAATGTGAGGGGCAGAACTTACAAGTGCCTGGCTGCAGATATGGCCCAAGACCCGTGGAAGTTTGGAGAAACACATTCAGATAGATACAGGGTGATGGAAAGAGGAAGAAACAAAGCTATAAAGGTGAGGTAACAGGATTCTCAGAAGAAACATGCAAATTCTGTGCATTTAACTTGATCTAAAATAAAGCCAAGGTGGTCCGTGTGAGTCAGATGAAACAGCACTGGTGAACACCTACATTTGGGGAAGACGGGTGCGTGCTGTGCATTCCCCCATTCCTTTCCATTCAATGTGCCTAATGCCTTTTGTTACATTTATAGCAAATGCTGCTTTTAGAAAGCAAGATTTTCATTTATAAAAGCTCCAGAAAAATAAGAAAATAGAGGAACAATCCTCTTCAACATGTCTCCCCCAAAAGAGACACTGTCTGCAGTCACATGTGAATTCTTCCAGGACTTACCCCGTCCTCTTTCCCTCTGTGCTATTAGTATTTTTATGATATGCACATAGAAGTTTAATAATAAAATTAAATAAGTAAATCACTAGATCATTCTGCATCCACTGCCTTTGCTTTCGCTCCATACGGACTTTCAGCATCCGAGGGGAAGCCGGCAGATGTGTCTTTGATAAGGAGGGAGCCAGGGACTAGTCGGGTCTCACACATGCTGCACCCACCCACACACCCCAGTGTTTAGTTGGGTCACTGGTCAGCGAATGAACGAATGACCCCGGCAGAATCGGATGTCCTTCATCGCCAGCACCAGAGGGGCGCAGGGCTGGAGCACAGCCTCTGAGCGGTCCTGGGGACACTGGGGTCAGGCTGTGACCTCGAGGCCTCCGCGTGCATCCTGGCCACGGGGAAGCTGGAAGTATCGCCAAGTCCCCGTGGCATTGGGGAAGGATCAGCCATGGAGGAGGGCTGTGGTTCTGATTGGAACCCTGGGGCAGTCCTGGGCAGGAGGGCAGACGAGAGCTGACCACCCCACACCATCCCTGCGGGTGTTTCTCAAGGAGGCTGACAGTGCGGCTTCCTGTGACCTTGCGTTCCCTTCTGCTCTGAAGGCTTTGTTGACTGTGAACGTTCTCCGTAAGATACCCAAACCTGGGCTGGGCAGGAAGGTGCCACGAAACATGCAATCCACAAGCTGTCGCAACACTTCTAAAAGTCATCAGATAATTCCCCTTTTTGCTGTGGCCCAGCCCTGGGTCCCACCCCGACTGCCAGGAGGAACGTCCACAGAGAGTGGCAGGCGGCCCGCGGCCACCTCGGTGGCAATGAGGCTCGCCTCCTCCCCACACACCGAGTCCAGTAGACCTTCCAGGGGGCAGGAGACAACGAGGGCCTCGGACAATGGGTCAGGCTGGTGGGATGTAGCTGGAGGGGAGCAGGGGTGAGGGGAGGAGAAAGACATAGAACACGCCCTTCACACCCCAAGCAGCTCCAGTCGGTGGCAGGAGGACAGCCTGGGCCCAGCGGCGCAGCACCCCGGCTGAGGGGGACACACCCCGAGCCGCGTGTCCCCCTTGCCCCTGTTCTCAGTGCCAACACGTCCATCTGGCTTTATTGTTTCATTAATTGACAAAGGGACGTCTTCACAGCTATCAACATGTGCATGTAGAGTGTTTTCACTTTTGACCTTTGCAAAAATCCTGGGAACCTGTAATGCTATTCGCCACATTTTAAAGGCAAAGACTCTGAGGCTCAGGGTGGCTTGCCAGAAGCCACAGAGCATAATCCCCACCCCAGGCAGGTCCCCCGGCAGCTCGAACACCACGTGTGTGAACTGCGGCCAGGAGCCGAGAGCTCCGACTCGCCTGTACGAGTGACCGAGCTGGCTCGTGTGGGCTGGTCGCCGAGGGGAACAGAGTGACATCATGCGCCTGCTGCGCGCCCAGGAGTTTCTCAGTATTTTAAAATGTAATTTCTATGCATGCTTTAATCAACTTATTACTAATATAACTAAGGATCCCTGCAAGGCAAGATTATTATTTTGCCCATTTCTCAGATGAAGCAACTGAGGTCCAGAAAGTTTATTGCCCAGAGGTAACTGGTAGTCAGTGACAGAGCCGGGCCGGGGGCCCAGACTCCTTCCACCAGTGGGCTGGGGCGAGGAGCTTGCGGAGGGAGAGAAAGCCTCTCACTCCATTTTCCTGCTTCCGGTCATTTGTCCTTGTTCTCTGACAAGGTCACTGGGTCTGTTTCTGAAGGTCAGGGAAGCAGCCACTTCTGCTCCCATCAGGGCAACTGGAATGAGACGTATTAGCCTCTTTCCCAACAAAGCACCAGCTCCCTTTAAAATCACCTCTGAAGCTCCTCATGGGTGGCTTTTGGGGGCCCATCAAATATAAGCTGCTGTGGTTTTACACACCCACGAATATCAGACAATCATTTCTAACCAGTGCTGTGTTAAGCACACACACACACACAGACCTCAGGTTGCTGTGCCCTAAAACCATCTCTTCTCCCCTCTGCTGTGCCCGTGTAGGCGTCACCTGCTCGCCTCTGCTAAGCCCTCAGAATGGAACCATGTCCTGCGTCCACCCACCTGGAGATTCCAGCTATAACTCCACGTGCTGGTTCACCTGCGATGAGGGATTCTCTCTGTCCGGGCCAGGAAGACTGGCCTGTGCTGCTTCTGGCCACTGGACAGGCTCCCCACCCACGTGCGAAGGTAGGATCATAGCCGCCCTTCCCTGTGGCTGCTCATCACAGACAGCAGACCCCGCAGGGGGTCACTCGAGCCACAGGAATCACACTCTCTCTCCACAGAGCACCGTGATCTAGACCAAAGCATTTCTCTTCCTCTTCCTCTGAATATTCTTGTAACAATACCTTAAACAGTTCAATCCTACAAAATGTTTCCATGTCACTACGGCCTTTCATGCTTTCTGTGATTCTGAAATATGAGGGCAGGCAGTGCATCTCTGCATCACAGACGGGGACTTGGAGGCTCAGGGAGGGCGAGGACTTGTGGGCATCCGCACCGCTGTGCGTGATGAGGCTCAGTGATGCCACCGGGACTCTCCGCACCAAGTGTTTTTCTCCCACACTCCTCACTCACTGAGCACCCCTGAGCTACTCAGCATGGGTGCGGTCCCACCCGAGCCCCTCTGGGACCTCGCAGTCTGTGCACGTACGTCTCCCCTCCCACTGCTGTGTGGACTGTGAGCTCCACCCGACAGTAAAAGTGTGGGTGACGAGCATCTGCTGGACTGATGTGGTCGTTTCCCAGTTAAGTTCACTGAAGCATGAGCCCTGTTAACAGCAGATCAGTGGGTCCCCAGAGGCGGGGCCGGATCCTACCTGCCTTTGATTCCCCCAAACATCTCCCTGGCCCAGTACCTAGCGTCTTGTACGCTCTAAAACAGAAGTTTCCTGAGCTAATTGACTCACGGCACACGTTTCCTTGCAGAAGGCACCATTGTTGCAGTTTACCGTTTTGGGCACCCAGTAATGATAAAACCAGTAGTAATGCTCATATTTATTGCCTGTGTAGTAACAGCTATTTCCTATGCATTCTCACATTTCCTCTACACAGCAGTCTGCAGTGTGGTGCTTATTATCCCCATTTTAAAGATGAAGAAACGGAGGCTTTGAGAAAAGGTCAATAGCTGGCAAAGGTTGCCTAATTACAAAGTCCAGAGCTGGGATTCAAACCCAGGCCCCACCTGATCGTTGGGCTGGTGTTTCTAGCACTACCCTACACTGCCACCCCGTGGTGGGTTCCTAACTGCGTCAGTCACCTGTGCGCATCACTGCCCCGGCTGCAGCCACAACAGCTGGAATGGCCTTTGGAAAGGACAGGGCCTGGTACCAGATGAGAGCCCCAGACTGACAGGAGTCTATTAGTGTTACATGCAGAAAGCCACAGGGTCACTTATTCCCCTGGTGGCGTGAGCGCTCGGCCGATATCCAAAGACACGCGCGAGACTCCTCCTGGAAGTCGGGCGCTCCTCGGAAGGCCGTGTCACACCCTTGGGCTTCGTTTCTCCCCAGTCCAGAAGGCGAGGAGTGGACAGATCATGTCTGAGGTCTGGTCCCTGGTCAGGACTGCTGTTGGAGGACATGGGACGCTGCCATCTGCCGTCAGGAAGACACGCTGCCAGCCGTGGGGGGACTCGGAGCATCTCCGGGACAGCACCGGGCGTGCGTTCCCTCCCTCATTCCCCGTTCACTATCCCAGCAACATTTATCAGGAGCTCTTTTTCCACATTCTGTTTTAAGGCTAAAGAATAAGATGCCCTAGGAATTATCTCAGTAAAGTTTTAGATCATTTACGCAGCCAGCATGGTTGCTGAATTTGCCGTCTCTGAGGCTCCTGTGCCCCACGTGGAGACACTGGTGTCCACCCTGCAGGCCCGGTCCCGCTCACTGTCGGAGCACTGCCCCAGCCAACTGTGGGGCTCAGAACTGCCATCCCCATCTGAGTCCAATCTTGAGCTCTGGATTTTGTACCTGTGTTTCTACCTCATCCTCCAAATTTTATTCTCTGGATTTAAGCAAATAGCTCCTCTTCTTTCCCACATTGCCTGAGTCCAGGAATTGTTAGTTTACGGCAGCCAACTCAGATAAAGTCATTATTTATAGTCTATCTTCTTTCCCAAGAAGTTTTGACAAAATTACGTCCAACACAGGTAAAAAGAGATGATACAAACAGAGAAGAATTTGTGAAATTTGCTCAGAGTAATAGAAGCCAACACACTGAGGTTGAGGGCAGAGTGCCGGGAAACCCACTGCTCACGAGGTCACGTGCAGCCACATGCACCCACTTCGTGGGTACAGAGAAACAGCAGCGAAGGCGTCGATGGCAGACAGCACTGCCCTGAAGCCCAGAAACAGAGCATTCAGCGTGTGACCAAAGCAACCCTTATCTGTGTTCTATTCTTCTTGGAATTACTCAGGTTTTGGTAAAGTTTTTAGTAAGCTTAAGAATATGACTACTTTTGAAAGTTACTCACAGAGTCTGTTGTTCAGTAAAAATCTCTTTCTCAGCATCGGCCCTGCGCCCTTCTGCTCCCAGAGCACCCTCGGTGACCCCACAAATGTAACTCAGCCCGTGTTTGCAGAGCGCTCACCGCAGGCGGGCTCTGGGTTAGATGCCATCGCCTCATCGAGGCTGCCCCTCGCCCGGGGAAAATCTGCTTCCTTTCAGGATGCAGTCAAATCGCTACTGTTACTTCGAGGGCTTTGGGGAGGTTCATTTTGACATAAGAGGGTTGGGAGACTTTCATAGATACAAGATACATAGATACACAAACACACTTGATTCACACAGATTCAATGAATCACTTGAATCATTTTTTAAAAAATAGCTCCACTTGTTTCTTTTTAGATCATGTAAAAACACATGTTAGACTGCATCCAAATTAAACTGCTTAGTAACTTATTTGTTCATTTGACAAATATTTTCAGAGCCCCTCAAATGTTCCAGGCCCAGTTCCCTGAGATACAGTTTTGAAAAGAAATGTCCAAGTCCTGCTCTCACACAGCTAATGTTATGCATTTTCTTGGGCTTAAATATGAAATCCTGGGAGATTCTGAAAAAGTTATTTTAGTGAGCATGTTCAAAGATGACTCAATATCTTTGACTTACATCAATAGATATATTTAGTAAATGTTTAGTAAATGGAATTGATCTGTCAGGCATGTATTTATTAATTACCCCAAAATCTGAGAGTTCGAAACTGAATTCAGCATATTGCTTTGGCTGAATGGATTCATGCATTAAGGATCCACAATCCTTCAGTGACCAGCTGGTCACTGGAAAACACATGGGCGAGCATGCACAAGGCAGACACATCACTTTTACATGAGGCGTTGCATAGGACTTCAAGAGGTTTATTTAGAAAGCAAAATAGCTAAGCAGAAGGATCTGAAAGCTTACCTGGCCAGGGCATTGCTTTTAGAGAGCCTTGGATCTAAAGAAAAAATAGTTGTTCAGTGTGTCAATAACCCACCATTGTTGATAAATAATAGTCTTATGTCAGAGAATTTAATGGGGAGAAAGACACAATGCTAAGAGAAATGTGTCACTGCAATAATTTATAAAAGCAATTTTTGAGGGTAATCGTAAGTTAAAAATTCACTTATTCATTCAGTTGGAAAATGGTACCGAGCACCACCTCCTGGGATCCTGCAGGGTGAATTGTGGGAGACACAGAGATTCATGGTCCTTGGGGTCCAGGAGGAGGGGGGCGATATGACATGTGATGTGACGGCGTCTGAATTCAAACGAAAAGCTGGCACACTCAGAGGAGAGTTCGGGCTGTGGTGTTCTGCAGAGGCTCCGGAGAGCCTGGGATCCCTGGGGTCCTAGAGGATGGGTGAGTTGTGTTCAGTGAAAATAGGAATTCAGGGCAGTGCGGGCCAGGGACCACAGGCCGGAACGCGCGAGGTCGGTTCAGGGAATCCCAGAGAGCAATCTAGCTTCTCCAGGAGGTTTTGAGCTTTTCTGGGCTTGGACCGTGGCCGTAAGAAAACAGTCTGAAGGTCCACATGGAGGAAGTGGTTTAGGACAGAATATGATTATCGCTGTTTTACGCGTGCTGCGTTTGAGGAGGTGGCAGGGCATCTAAGAGGAGGTAGTCAGGAAAGGGCAGAAGTGAAGTCCTGGACCACACCCAGGCAGGTAGCAGCGTGAGAGCCGTGGCGGGCCACGAGGCCTCTCAAGAGGGTGTGCAGAGGAAGTGGAGCCGGAGGCCCTGCGTAGGGCCGGGCCGCTTGAATCCTCGGCTTCTTCGCCTCCGTGACCTCTGGCTGCGCTCCTGTCTGCAAGCCCACCATCTGCCCACCGCCCCATAGTAAACGACCCGTCACGCGTGCTGTGGGATGCCTGTAGCCTTGCAAACCCCAGACATAGTAGGCGCTTCATAAATATTTGTTGAAAACATAACAAATGAATTTGGGGCTAAACAGAGATTCTGAATAAGCTCGAAGACGGTGACATTCTTGATTTTCTTCTCCAGCCGTCAAGTGCCCAGAATTATTTGCCCCTGAGCAGGGAAGCCTGGCCTGTGCTGACGCTCATGGAGAATTCAGTGTTGGCTCCACCTGCCATTTCTCCTGTAACGAGGGCTTTGAACTGGACGGGCTCAGCGATGCCACATGCACAACTTCTGGGCGATGGACAGCACCCCCGCCGACCTGCAAAGGTGAAATGCCGCACACTTGCTGAACGTGCACGCAGCCCTCCTCCCGAAGTTTCTTCAACACAAATAACAACCTTATATAAGTTCTTACTATGTGACAGGTACACGTTATATCATTATTGTGAAAGCCTTACTTTTTGTTATGAAAGGATTATCTACTGGGTCCAGGAAACACAGCCCATGGATTAAAATATTTATAAGGCATGAAGGAACTTTTCTATATTTATGAATAAAAGACATACTGATTCTTAGGCAGAACTTTCCTTTCATAAAGTTGGCCTCTTTTTCTCAAAGAGATTTTTAGAGCTGATGGAATGGTCTCCATTGCCTCCTGGCCAGGAGGGGTACAAGGGGTGGAGTCACTGGTCTAATTTTTCCAAACAAGGAATGAGGCGCAGAGAGGTTGACATCATCTTCCTGCTGCACGGAAGCTGGTGACAGAGCCAGTGGTGTCACGCACACCTCACACTTCATGCTGACCTTTGGTCAGAGGACAGCTCCCCCTCCCAGTACAGCAGCAACGGGCAGGCAACTGGCCTGTGCATATTTCATTTTCTGCTGAATTTCTTATATTTTTGCACTAATGCCTCTGGTTTTTGTCTTGTTTTGTTTTATTTTAGATATTAGTAACACTGACACCCCACCCCAGTTTCTTCTCCTGGCCAGGAAAATCATCTCTCCAGGGACACATTCAAATAATTGTTTCTCATCTGGTTTTCGCTACCTGAGACTAATGTTTTCCTTAAGTTCCTTAAGGAGCTATTGCCAGGGTTTCCCTTATGACGGAAGGAGTGGAAGGCAGCTACTCAGTGTCACTTTCAACTCCTTTACGCTCCTTTTAATCAGGGACTCTGAAAACTGAAGCTTTTTCTCACCCAGGTGTAGCACCAGTCCCTGCCCCAGAGGGGCGCTGCCCAGCCCTCCACCCTCCAGGGCAGGGAACAGTGTCCTGTGGGCCTCGTCTGGGACCTTTCAGCTTGAACAACACCTGTTATTTCGGATGCAATGCTGGGTTCACGCTCGTGGGAGATGGTGCTCTCAGATGCAGACCTTCAGGACAATGGACAGCAGCAGCTCCCGCGTGCAGGGGTAAAGCTAGGGTGCAGGTTTCCACGGCGGGGGCGGTTCCCATGAGAAAGGGCGGTTCCCATGGGAGCAGGCGAACGGTTCCCATAGCTGCAGGTGGTTGGAACACCAAGGGGGTGGGTGAATTGTTCCCACGGGAGCGGGCGAGGTCCCAGGGCAGTGGGCTGTTCCCACGGGCTCGGCAGTTCCCAGGCGGTGGGCAGTTAACCCCAGCGGAACAGGCAATTCCCACGGGTGCAGGCGGTTCCCACGGGTGGTGCCGAATGGTTCCCACGGGAGTGGGCGTGCTGGTGGTTCCCACAGGAGTGGGCAGTTCCCACAGGTACGTGTGAACCACTGGGTCAAGCAGTTCCAATGGAGCAGGCGGTTCCCAAAGGGCAGGTGGTTCCCACGGATGCGGGCGCGGTTCCCACGGGTGGGGGCGAACGGTTCCCACGGGTGCAGGCAGTTCTCATGCCGGCACTCCAGCCAGTCTTTGCACCTGCCCGCTGATGTCCCAGCCAACCCCAACCACTACTTCACATGTTGGCTCCTCCAGGGACCCATGCCAAACCCACTAGATAATAAGGTGCATCTTTCTAAGGGTGGCAGCTAATGGTCTGCTATTCAACATCTAAGGGGTGAAACGTTAGTAAATGTCCACAAGGTACAGAACAAGCATGCTAAACACGAAACCAGTTACATGAACTGTGAAATATAAGTTGCAATTCTATTAATATGTGACAGTATGAACATTACGTATTTTTATAATTGGAACCTAACTAAAAAAATAACAACGTATGACTCTTGGAGAGCTGTCACTCTATACATGAGGAGCTGTGTCTCTCTCTACATCCTTCGTGTATCCCCACAAAGCACAGCACAGAGCTTTATAAATGCCACAATTTTCAATAACATTTATTTGAGTTAAATTTGATTTCCTGAGCTTTAGTTTCCTATCCACAGATTAGGGAGAATATCCTGAAGCTCCATGAAAAATAGTTTAAGGAGGGTGGCAGTCTCTACTTCTTTCAACATTTCAGAGGTCAGCTAAGCTGAACACATATTTTAATAAACATGTACTGGCATGACAGCTAATTGCCAATAGCGGTAGTAATAGCATTTAAAATAGTATTTTGGGAAGCAAACTTCTGTAAGCAGAATTTTTTTAGGTTAAGGGTTAGCAGGTACTTATCGAATTCTACTCTGTGCCCGTCCTAGATCTCCGACTCTCATTCTCTGAGTGGATAGGTTAGGATGGGTGATGTTGGCTGAGATAGTGTAGATGTCAGAGTGGCTCATCTGCTTCCCGATTTTTTATAGTCCACCTCGTCTACTGACAAAGCTAGGCCAGTTACAAATGAAACCACGATCTCTTTTACCTTCATTCACCGTGTTTTCCCTGCATTTTTTTTTTTTCTGCAGCTGTCAAGTGCTCTGAGCTGCACATTGGTGAGCCAGTCGCAATGAACTGCTCCAACCCCTGGGCAAACTTCAGCTATGGATCTGCCTGCAGCTTCCATTGTCCAGAAGGTCAATCACTCAATGGTTCCGCAAGAACAGTGTGCCAAGAGAATGGCCACTGGGCAACTCCCTTGCCAACCTGCCAAGGTATATTTTTTCACATGGGCTAGGAAGTCACTTTGATATGGAAAATAACAAAATCAGTTTCTCCCGTGTACTTCTGACGGTGGTCTCAGCTTTCCATCTCTGGGCTTCCCCTGCATTTAAGAAAATGCTTCATGGTGAATCCAACACAATCACCTTGCCTTGTACAGAGTGGTGAGAATTAAATCCGGTGACACTGTGCAGACGATCACACTCTCTTTTCAGAGCGCAGATCTGTGCAGTGAACCCTCCCATTTCCTCATAATCTGTATGTAAATACATCTGGAAGTCTGAAAATGTTTTAAACTGGAGGTTATTTCCTACAGACCCTAATTTATTATCTCAGAAGACCTTTGTTTACTACATACCTCTAAAAATACCACTGATCTTTCTTACTTAAGCTCCATCTGTTTGTAGAATTTATTTCATCCACCTTCCTTTTTTTCTTTTTTTTTTCCTCTACAACTTATCATTAGTTTTTGTTGCACAATTGCATCTTCAATTGTCAAAAAAAAAAAAATACAAAAACAAAACATCACAGCATGGTTTTATTTTTTTATTTTTACTTGTCCAAGCTTCCATTTCTTTTGTCCACCATTTAATCGTTTGGTTCCTTTTGATAGGTCCTTACCCTGACTCCTTGGAAACTATGATATTTAAGTACCAGGGATAAAATTGAGCCTGCTCAATGCTCCATGCTGTGGTCTTAGGGCTTCCAGGTCTCTTGTGCAGGGTTGTCAGCACCACCAGGACCCCTGACCCCACCTGATCTCACCTCTTTGAATTCTGAGGCCCCTTCTGGAGAACGAGGGCGCAGTACACCTGTGAGGTCATGTATCTGTTTTGCAGAGAGGCCGCTGACCGTCCAGGAAGCGCTGACCTACGTCGGTGGAGCGGTGGCTTCTACAGTAGGTTTGGTGACATGTGGGACACTGCTGGCTCTGCTAAAAAAGCGTTTCAGACAGAACGGTAAATAAGAAAGAATCTTTTCCTGATTTTCTTTTTCCCTGTGATGCGGGGTGGGGCGGTGAAACCACCACTTCAGTAGCTCCTGTTGGAAAACATTTGCATTCAGAGAAAACACCCTGAGAATTGACCGCCCTTCAGAATCACCTGTTAAAAACTCAGACCCTCATGTAGGGTGATCTGGAGATGCGCCTGGAAATACGTGTTTTCTGAAAGCCCTCCCCGTCAGTTCTAGGGGGGCCAGCTGCTTGTTGGCATCACCAGAACTAAATGGAAAAGCTTCACACTTCTCTCCATGATTCCTTCCTGCAAGAGGCATTTATTGACCAACGGTGTTTGGCAGTGGGGCCCAGAATGATATTAAGGAAGTTAGGGGAGACAGACAAGTAGACTCAATGCTGATACCATGTGTCAGGACAAAACAACCCCAGTGTGACTGGAGCACAAAACAGAGGTGTCCTGTCCCAACCAGACTGAGAGGCCAGCAAGTCTTCTTTCGGCTTAATTTTGGGGAGGAAAAGGGATTTTGCCAAGGGAGAAAAAGTGGAAATAGAGTTCCTGCAGGGAGAATAATGTGTGAAAAGACCAGGAGAGGTGAAGCTGCCGGGACGGTGCCGTTTAGAGCATCTGGACCCGAAGCGGCCCGTGGAGGAGGCTCTTGCTCACGCCTCGGTGTTCAGGAGCTCAGGGGTGTGCGCTTATCATGAGAACTGGGGTGCTGATGAGGGACACAACCAAGGAAGAGGCCAAAATGATAAACCTCTTAAAGGGAAAATGGCTCATCAGAGGGTTCAGCCAAGAACAGCAGCCTAGGAATGACAGGGGACCAGCCCTCAAGGGTTGGACACCTTTCTCTGCCCCAGATGCTGCCCAACAGCTCAGAAAGCCCTCTGTGTGAGCCGATGGGGCCCCTCCTCGTCACTCCCTGTGGACAGTGAGCGGGGGCACCAGCGGGCAGGTACACTCAAGTCCAGGCCGCTCGAGGCGGCTGTGCTAAGAGTGCCCAGCAGACAGGTAGGAGGGGCTTGGCGCCCGCTCTTCACCGCTCAGCAGAGCCCCGGGGTCCCGGCTCACACTGCCTGGAGGCCGGGTCCTGAGGTTCCTTCCTGTCCTCTCCTGTGCCAGGATGGGCAGGGTGGCAGAGCAGGAGAAACCCACTGCCAAAGACCAGAGCCACAGCCAGCCCTCCAGGCAGCATCCGTGCTTGCTCAATGACACCCAGAGGGCGGAGGCAGGAACCCCTCATACCTGGACACCCATCTCCATACCTACATAGGGATCATTGTGCCTGCATCTTCCCATGCTCTTCCTTCGGTTGGAGACATTTCCAGGGAACCCTCCGAGCCATGGGGAGGGACCGGCAGTTGCCCATCCTCTAATATCTTTAATAATAAATAAATTCATCTGTGAGGATGGGGAGCTTTTCCTTGACCTGTCCCAGGTGGATTTTAAACTTTCTAGGGTTCTACTCTATGCTCAAGTAACAGGAAAAGGCTGTGTACTATGTCCCTCTCTGCAAATGTGAACTGCACCCTCGTTACCTGCCGGAGGCACCCTGATGCCCTGGGATACGTTTACTTGTTCACCTTCAGTCGACTTAACATCTAAACTTACTTTGCCAGGAGATGCTTTTCCCCTTTAACTGCCCGTGGGATGACTGACAGGCCTGACGCCATGTGTCAAGGTTCCACGATCAGAGTCCCTTATTTAATTATGGGAGCAGGCCCCCAGCCCCCAGGGCACCAGGAGGGAGAATGCCCTCTGTCATGCTGGTGCAGATCCGTGCCCACGACCAGCTTGTCCCACCAGTGGCTGAGGGGGGCCAGGACTGGGGCCTCAAGTGCCAAAGAAATGTACTTCGAGAAGCAGTGATCTCAACGGGAACAGCCAAAGAGCCCACAGCAGAGGCAGGGACCTGATGAAGGCAGAAGGGCCATCAGGGAACGGGAAGACGAGGATGGAGGGAAGGCTGCACGGCCTGTGCTGTGCTGTCAGATGTGTGATCAGCCTGAAACCGTCCTGCCTCCTGGGGGGGCCGCTCCTGGAGGGTCCCTGTAAGGCACCACCTGAAAACCGCCCACCACCTTTCCCAGCGGCCCTTCTCACCGACCACCTTTCTCCTTCGTTCCCATTTTCTTTTAAACCAATCAATTTTGTCTCCTTGCTTATTTCAGATGATGGGAAAAGCCCCTTGAACCCTCACAGGTAAGGAGGAAATGTTTTATGATTGTCTAAAGTTTTCTACTTTGATTTTTCAGTTCAGTGTAATATTCCAGAAGGATTTTATGGAATACATAACACCCCCTTTTTGCAACAAATCTTTTGCAGTGTCCTCTTTACTAATTTTGAAGTAAAAGACACAGATAATATATCCTAACTACACATACATAACATCTTTAAAAGTCAGTAATTACCCTAATTATAAAGAAGTGATCAAGGGAACGTGATTTATAACGGAAACAGATGCTAACATGGGGGCACCACACTGAGGATGCTGAGGTCACCGGGGGCCCGGCCTTGGGACAGGGTCACCATGGAGGCCACGGCCATAAAGGCCACCTGCCAGGAAGATTGTATCAGGGACTCAAACAGCATCAGAGCACTTGCTAACACCAGCCTCATTTTTTAAAACGGTGAACAACTCTGGTAGGGGGCTGGGAAAAAATGTTATAATCTTCCCACAATTCACATGGCAATTGCATTTTAAAGGATAAAAACAAAAAACTTTAATATTTACATGCAGTAAGTTCCAGTCTCAGAGGTTTTTCACCAACAGGAATACTGACTGAATGTCCTAAAGCTGTATGGGGTGTAGGACAATTCTTTGGCATCCTGTACCTATTAGAACTTTAGCACCCCCGACCCCTACCAATAAATGTCCATATTTCTCCTGGTCATTATGAAAATCGAAAGTCCCCCCTTAGGGGTCAGCACCACCATTCTCTGAAAATCTCTGCCAGGTGGGCAGGGGTCAAGGCTGGGGATTTTGTAAGGGTGCCCTCTCACCAGGAAGAGGGCATAACGGGAACTAAGAACCTAAAAGCACCAATAATCACCTCCCGTGGGTGTAAAGTGCAATGCAGAGACCAAGGGCTGGGGAGTGGGATCTCGGAGACCTGGCTGATATTCTTTCTGTTTCAAAGCAGAATTCCAGGGATGGGTGGTGATCTGTGGCCCCTGGACTGTGGTCAGGGACTCAGCACCACACAGCAGGTCATCTCTGTGTTTCTGTTCTTTAGCCACCTAGGAACATACGGAGTTTTTACGAATGCTGCATTTGACCCGAGCCCTTGAGGTACGTTACCCATGAAGATATTTCAGAAGGACACAGACCAGTAGGGAAACAGGAAGAATATAAAGCTTGACTTTTCTTTCTGTCGTCATGAGTTAAGTCTTAAGCATGTATTAAATTTTCAAGCCATGACGGAAATTGCGTTGGCAGAAGGGGACAGAAACAGCAATAGAGTGACAATAAAAAGTAAGTCCATGTGAGGATTCCCATTTCCTCCAGGATGGACACGTCCCACTAAGACACACTTATTTCAGGAGGCGTGGCATTCCCACGGGTGGCCGCTAGCTGGCACTCACACCGTGGCCTTGCGTGATAACCAGAAGTCACGGCTGCTGGGAAAATTTTAGGAACTCTGTGCCACCTGCTGGGGAAATGAAAATAATCTGCCTCCCCAAGAAGGTCAGTGAGTAGTTGAGTTTCCCAAGAAAAGTAGCCAAGATGGCAGGATATCTGGGATCTAGAAAGAGAACTTCAGGGGATGGATACGATGACAGTATAATTATTTTAATTTCTTTTGTCTCATTTTCAGAGACCTGTCCTCTCCTCTTGGTCATCTAAGCCTCCACAGGATCCTATTTTTGCACACAGGCTTCCGGCTAGATTTGACTTTAACTGCGGTGTACTTGCTGAGATTTCTGTGAATACTTTAAATAAACGATGTGGAATTTCGTCTGGATGAGCTCTGGGTCAGAGCAGGATTGTACCAGGAGCTCAGACTCCCCTCCAGCACCCGTCCTGCTCCAACACGAGCCCCAGGAGCCAGGACTGGATGCTTCTGCTGTGGGCTGTGGGCTCTGCCCGGCTGTCCCTGGAAATACTCATCAGCCAGAGACTGGGTCATTTGGCTTATCAGAAGATCAGAGTACGGAAAAATAATGCCTCTTTACTTTGAGACTGGAGGAATGCATCCTCCATGCTGGAAGGCAGGCGGCGTCCTGACTTGAGGGGATTTCTCTAAGATCATCCGCAGCCTCCTGCAGAAGTATTTGCTGTTACTGACGCCTCCGGACTCTGCTGCGAGGCTTCCAGAGCAGCCCCTTCTGCAGAAGACCGTGAACCAAGACAGAAAGGACCCTGTCAGTGTACAGCTGCCCTCCCTCCAGCAGTCACTCTCCGCCCAAGGACCCAAAGACCAATACTCAAATGTGTAATTTAAAGGATTCCCCCCTCAGAGCCCATGTCCTATCATTCGATGTTTTGTTCCATAAAGTCTGTGTATACCACTATGTTTGCATCAGTATAATAAACACTTACAGTTGTCCCAGTTAGAGCTGGCCCCGTCAATCAAATATATATAACACCCCCCCCAACCCCCCCAGCCCCCCACCCCCGTGCAAGGAAAAAATCAGAGACGCAGAGAAAGTCTTTATCACCTGAATGGTCTTCTTGGAAGAACAGATGTTCTCTGTTGAATCATCTGTTTACTAAATAGGTTGTTGAAAGTTACACAGTGGTTATCTGGAACTGACTCAAAACCTAGAGAGACAAACAAAATTGTTTTCTCTGAAATGTGAGGCAATGAGCATGTTATGTGGGCTGAATGGCACACAAGTAAACATGCAGATAAAGATGGTAAAATAGTCTAAAGGTTACGAGAACTAGCGAGCATTTCAGTAGAAACCTTGGGATTTGGAGACGCAGTGCTTTTGAAAAGTTTCTCGGCTATGCGGCCACTAGGTTAGGCATTACAGGGCAGCGGTTCTCGGCGCTGTCTCCTGAGCCAGGGTCCACATTTTGTGAAAGCTTCCCAGGGAAGTCCGGTGATTTACCAGCTTGGCAAACCACCGATCCGACCTCACAGACGCAGAGGAGTAAGGCCCTGTTCCTGCACTCGGCTAGCTTATGATCCAGTTGGAAAAACAACAGATGTCCACAGGACAGAACAGAGCGTGCTCAACCAGAGAACATTATCTGAATAGTGCTGTAGGAGTTCGTAAAATGGAAAGGTCAACTTGAGCTCCAAATCAGGGAGATAGGAAGAACTCTGATTGGACTTTCAAGAGTGGACAGCAAAGGGGACAGTGGACCTTCTAGGCCAATAGAATAATGTCAGAAAAGGAGCAGACAAAAGATTGTGCATAGAGACGTGAGGTTGTTGAGGACTCTGATGTCAGTCACTGAGACCTCATGGGACGTGCCAGGTCACAGTTTATTGACTCTATTGAGACAAATCCTAACAAGCTTGAAGGCATGTAGATGCAGGGAACCCCAGACAGGTCATATCGGTGCTCAGACAACGTAATTCTCAGATTTTCTGTGAATAGCAAAATAAGATCTGAAGGCAGTGTGAAACAGCCATATCCTCTGAGAAACACAGGGGGCCCCGGAGGCGGGAAAAATATAATCATAGAAGCAAATAGGTGCCGTGTGCTTTCCAACTGCTAGAATTACACACCTCCGCCTCCCAACGACCGTATCAGGGAAATTATTATCGGGCCTGTTCCGCAGATGTCAAAACTGAGCTCCACAGAGGTTAACTTACCCGAACAACACCGCTGGTGGGGGATGCAGACCTGGTCCGCTGCTTCTCTCGGCCAAGCCCCTAAGCCTGTGCTGGGCGCGGCCCCAAGCCGGCCCCCGCCTCATCAAGACAGAGCTGTGCCTGGCAGGAGTCAGGAATGCGGCCCTGTCCACGTGCTTGCTCACCCCCTGCTTCCTCAGCACTCGAAAATACACCCCCTGTGCCCAGTGCCAGGGCAGAACACCCCTTCCCTGCCATCAGGAGAGGCGTGTGGTTACTAAGCGCAAGGGTCCCAGGGCCCTGGGGGAGGCAGAGGGCCTGCCCAGGGCCGGCTTTGCCGCGGCGGTTGTGCGTGGAGAGGGCTGCTGGCCGGCGGCCCCAGCGGAGGGAAGCGCGGGGGCAGCTGGCGGCTCAGAGCCAGGGGCTGGCCCTGCACCCCCGCCGCGCGGGTCCCGGCCCTCCCTCCACCTGCGGGAGACGGTCACTGACCCGGCCGCGCCCCGGGGCAGTGACCCAACCAATCCCTGCCGTCAGAGCCTAGGAGGGGCTGGCAGGCGAGGCCGCGGCCGGCGCCCGGGGGGCCGAGGGGAGGAGCACGGCGGCCCCCGCTGGCTCGGCGCGGTGGGGGGCGCACGGCCGGCGGGGCGCACGGAGCGCGGGGAGCGCACGGCCGGCGCGGCGCAATCGGCGGTTGGCAGCCCTGCCGGGACCCGGTGGGCCCGGTGGT